TCTTCCGATCTCCCCAAAACCCCAAAACCCCGCAAAAATAAAACTGTGTCTATATAATCAATAGCAAAATGATAATGAAACATAATTATTACAATTATAATCTTTAAGATATAATTTATAAATGATAGAAAATTAAGGTCGGGTACTTTTTGTATCAATCTCCTTATTCATCCTTCTGCTATCTTATTTATCATGTTAGATGATTTCATCTAAAATTATGAACGATTTTGGCTACGATTCTTTGGGATTTTATTCTCTTGGCCTGACTAATTTATTTTTTGGGTTCTCAAGTCCTTTCACTTCAAATATAATCGATAAATATGGATCAAAATTAGCGATTAAAGTAGGCTCAGTTACATTTTTCTTGAATGTATTGGCAAGTTTACTTCCAACTATAAAGAATAAATATCAAGATTTAGATATTGTATTCCTCTATAAAGAATTCATTTACAGTTCTGTACTAATATGCGCAGCAATTAATGGCTTTGGAAATTCTTTATTATGGTGTGGATCTAGTATATACGTCACAAAATGCTCAAATTTATAAACAAAAGAGAGATTTTTCGCATTTTTACAAGGAATACCCTAATTTTCATAATTTTTTGGATGCCTTATGTCGGCTTTCCTTCTCGGAAATCTCGATACATTAACATTTTTCATTATTATGGCTGCCATCACTGGTTTTGGATCTTTTCTCTTGTTTCTTTTAAGAGAGCCTTTACCTTAAATGGTGAGTATTGAATAAAACTCCATAGTTATTGAGAATAAAGAAGAAGAAAATGAAGTGGCTAATGATGATGATAGTTTATTGCCTTCAACAGTTTAGTTTTCTATAGTTGAAGGTTAACCAAGAAGATAAACTAATTATTTGAATCCACCCTCATTTAATAATCGTGATCATAAATCAACTAGTATTTTCCCAGAAGATAACAATAGTACTAATAACAGACAAATAATACCTTAGAATAACCAATTAAATACAAAAAACTTATCAAAATATGCCACTTCTTAAAATATTAATAGCACAGATAATAGCTTAAAATCATCAACTACTGTTACATAATCTTTAAGTGGAATGTTCAGGTTATTGATCACTAGAAAAATGCTGATTTTGTGTGCTTATATGGTGCAAGCCGGATTTACAAATGCTTTTTAATCTGCAATCTTTTTCCCAATGCTTAATGACACAATGGATAAAAGCAATTCAAAGTAAAAGTCCTCTGAACTATCAATGTTTGTTCTAGCGGCTTGTGGATTAGGTGAGGTATTAGGAGCATTTTCAATATCTTTAGTGATAAAGCAATTTAAATCCAATCGAATGGGAGTGTTATATCATTTAATTTTATCGACACTAGGCTATTCCTGTTTGATTGTCTACGCTATTATGTTTGAATTTAACCCCCTTGCTTTTGTATTTGCCTTGATATTCGGTATGATGGATGGGGCTTCAAGCACTCACTTAGGCTTGATTTGTGGTTTTGAATTTGATTCTCAGAGTGTATTTGCAATGGGTGTGAATTACATGGTGAAACCCATTTTCGGATTCATAATTATTTTGATAGAAAGCGGTGTAGATGCTACAAGCAGCAGTACCTTAACTATATTCTACTCAGTGAGTTATGCTGTATGCTTAATCTGCATTCTTATAATACTATTTGTATTTCCCTTCAAACCATGGTTAAATAGAATTTGATTAGAAAAATACAATTCAGGAAATTTTCAGTTAATTGTGATTCATGGGGTTTTGGGGTTTTGGGGTTTTGGGG